CGCCACATTGGTGGATGGATGGATGGATGGATGGATGGATGGATGGATGGATGGATGGATGGATGGATGGATGGATGGATGGATGGATGGATGGATGGATGGATGGATGGATGGATGGATGGATGGATGGATGGATGGATGGATGGATGGATGGATGGATGGATGGATGGATGGATGGATGGATGGATGGATGGATGGATGGATGGATGGATGGATGGATGGATGGATGGATGGATGGATGGATGGATGGATGGATGGATGGATGGATGGATGGATGGATGGATGGATGGATGGATGGATGGATGGATGGATGGATGGATGGATGGATGGATGGATGGATGGATGGATGGATGGATGGATGGATGGATGGATGGATGGATGGATGGATGGATGGATGGATGGATGGATGGATGGATGGATGGATGGATGGATGGATGGATGGATGGATGGATGGATGGATGGATGGATGGATGGATGGATGGATGGATGGATGGATGGATGGATGGATGGATGGATGGATGGATGGATGGATGGATGGATGGATGGATGGATGGATGGATGGATGGATGGATGGATGGATGGATGGATGGATGGATGGATGGATGGATGGATGGATGGATGGATGGATGGATGGATGGATGGATGGATGGATGGATGGATGGATGGATGGATGGATGGATGGATGGATGGATGGATGGATGGATGGATGGATGGATGGATGGATGGATGGATGGATGGATGGATGGATGGATGGATGGATGGATGGATGGATGGATGGATGGATGGATGGATGGATGGATGGATGGATGGATGGATGGATGGATGGATGGATGGATGGATGGATGGATGGATGGATGGATGGATGGATGGATGGATGGATGGATGGATGGATGGATGAATAGATGGAGTGATGGATGGATGGAGTGATGGATGGATAAATGGATGGATTTGGTCAATACATGGAATATGGGTGCACTGGATGGTTGAGTGGATAAAAGTGTGATAACTAGTATATACATGATAAATGGATCATTGATTTTAGAGGAATGAATGGTGAAGTAAACATATATGGTGGCTGGATGATGCATGAATGATTGATAATAGATAAATGAAAGTTATGGATAGATTGATATTATGATGAGGAAAGGATACTGATGAATTGGATATATTTGTGGAGGGATAGACAGATAATAAGATGATGAATGGATGAATGGTTAGCCTAGGATAAAATCTAGAAACTTGGACCACCACTGGGTAATAACTGATCATTTCTAGATTAACCAAGAAAAACTTTGACAACCTTTCTGAAATCTTTTTTCTTGATATCCCCCTTCCCCAAATTCAGGATGGTAGTTACCTCTAGGAGTAAAGAGTGTCTAATTTCTTTAAAAAATATCTCTGAAAACAAGAATGGCACTACAGTACATTTTGACTGAGCTGGAGGATTATTGATCATTATGTTAGTTTTTGACTTGGCTAACATTTCAGGCACTTCATAATAAAAGAGAAGAAAAGAAATTCCCTATTTAGGTTGAGGGGTGCCATTACTCCAGAGAGGACAGACCCTGTCCCAGGCAGTGTTTCTGGGACAAGGGGGCAGCTGAGATGATAAAGCCTGGGGCCAAGTTCCGAGGACTGGAAGGGGGGGTCCTTTGTGGGATGAGAAGGGAGGCACCTACCATCTTCAGCGACGTCTCCATGAGCTCCTCCTCCGACTTCTGGCGCAGGCAGTGCACCATGACCGCCGAGGTGGTGGTTTGACAGCCGGCAAAGGTAGCGATTTGCTGCAGAAATCACAGGGGACAGCAGCATTCAAGAGCCATGTCCCTCCTGTCAACCAGTCGATGTTCCATCCCAACCTCAACTTCTAAAGGCACCGGGGGGTGGGAGTGGGTTGCAGACATTTCTCTGGACCAGCAGGTCTGGGCCCTGGGCCTCAGTCATGCCAATTCTGCCACCTCTTTGCCAGTTTCCTTCTCTCTCTTAAAAGGGCCAAAGGCTCTCAACGCTGGATGTCTGAAGAGGGGCAGCTTGGAGTGGGCTTTAGGGCATGGCGTCCAGAATCCCTCTGTCTGGTTTTAAATCTCAGCTCATCTTCTTATTATCCTTTGGCCTCTATCTAGTGAATCGTGCACAGTGCGGCCAGAGGAGAAGTTGAAACAGAGAGAAGAAAGCAGGCTCTTCCATGGCGGGCCATGAAGAGCGTACATTAAGGGGAGCTTGGGGGAAGGTGCTATGAAGAATAAAAAGTCTTAAATTCCCTTCATCGGCCAATTTCTAGTTCCTGTGTGACAGCAGAAACTGCCCCGTCTCTGCCACCTATTTCCTCTCAATAAATCCCCCCTTTCCTGACTTAAGCCTGGCCAAGTGGACTTCTGCTGTTTACAACCAAAGAGTTCTAGAAAACCTCAAAATTCTCTCCATCTTTGTTTCCTCCCCTCCTCTCTACCAGCCAGCCCCTTTCAGCCTGGCAGCTGCCCCACTGAGCCACGAAACGACTCTCACAGCCCAACTGAAACACTCCCACACCAGACTCCTGTGGGCGCTCATCAGCAAGGCCCCCCCCACCCCTTGAGCTCCCTTCCTTGGATCCCTAACAGTCTCCAGATAAAGACAAAGTCCTCCCCGGGTTCCCAGGCAGCAGGGCCCCTGCCAATGTCCCCAACCTCAGCTCAATCCAGGTTCCCTCTGCTCTTTCTGCTGTGGCATCATCAGTCTCTCTCCTCTCTCTCTCTGACACTTCCTCCTGCCACAGGACGTTTGAACACGTCGCTCCTGCTTTCTCAGACATTCATTTCTCACCAAGCAGGTTATGCTCATCCTGGGGATCTCACATTAGTGATCAGTTTCTTCAGGGAGCCTTTCCCCCTACACCCTGGACTAAGGCCTCCTTCTGAACTCTGTCATGATGTTAAGTAACTCTCCTTCCTGCTCCTGTCACGGCTGACATTGTATAACTGTGTTATTATGTAGTCGTTAATCCGTCTCCTCTATTAGAATGGAAGCCGCACAAGGCTGCTAGGTGTCTGGCTGTATCAAAATTATTTGTTGCCCGGCCAGCATGGCCCAGTGGATGAGCGTCCACCTATGAAGTAGGAGGTCACATGCGTGGGATATAGGCTCGATCCCCAGTGTGGGGCCTGCAGAAGGTAGCCGATCAATGATTCTCTATCATCATTGATGTTTCCATCTCTCTCTCTCTCTCTTCATCTCTGACATCAATAAAAAATATGTGTATTTTTTAAAATTATTTGTTGAGGCAACAAATGAATTGACGAATAAATTCTCCAGGAACCCACCGTAGTCACAAGGACCCTCAGGGAGATATCTCTCCAGGCCCACATGTGGCCACTGGGGGAGGAGGTCCCCAGAACTCAGGCCCTCCGAGAGACGAGGCGTGGTGACAGTCCACTCCCCATGCTCAGCCCGGGAGCCCACCGTGAACACTCTGGGGAGTGTGGTCCGTGGACAGTGACAGTGCTGGCAGGCCAGTCAGGAGGCTGAGTTCCCACTCTGCCCTGATTCCTGCTGACCTCGGTGAGGGTCCTCTGTTCTCTGGCCCAGTTTGCTCAGAAGTAAAACTGGAAGAAAGGGTGAGGTGTCTCCTTGCTCCTCCACTCAGCCATTCTTCTGGGATGATCTGGGCGTGCCAGCTGAATCCCATGGCAATGCAGGCCCCCGAGGACTCCAGTGGAGCAGAGCAAAGGGGATAAGGGCTGCACAGCATGAGACCTACCTGAGCTGTGGCCTTGATGTCTTTCTTGACCAGGCCAGTGGTGAAGGACACACCACTCTCAGAGATGGCCCGGTGGAAGAGATTCTTGGCCAGGGGAGATAACACCTGGGAGGGGAGTGGAGACGAAGAGAGTTGAGGCTCACCGGGAGGGGTCTTCAAGAGCTTCCCTAGCTCCATCCTGGCCCATTCCCCTGGGCTCAGTGGACATAACAGGGCCCCGCCTGGCCTGTTCCCCAGGCTGACCCTGAGGCCCTGTTTCTGTAAGAAAACCTCAGCTGGTAGGAGCCAAGGGCACAGGGCGAGGAACACAACAGGAAGTGTGTGGCAAGCGCCGACTCTAACCATCAAAAGTATCTGAAAGAGAGTTTGGCAATTCCTGGTAACACTTTCAAGACAGAGTTCTGAGTCTACATTTCCATTCCTAAGAACTCACCCTCAGGAAAGTGATCCTGGAGGCACACAATGACGTCTAGGGGTGCCCGTGCTGCTCATGATGGGGAAAGTGGGATCACATTGAGTAAATAAGCTACTTTTTAATTCTTACCATGGAATACTATAAAAATAAAATTATGGGAGAGCACTTCATGGTTAGGAAAATATTTATGTTAGACTGTAATGTTAAGGAAGTTTTTTATTTAAAAAATCATAGATAAATGATAGATAGATAGATAGATAGATAGATAGATAGATAGATGATAGGGTGAGTCATCAAAAATAATACTGGAAAAATAAGTGTCAACATGTCCATGGTGACGATCCCTGGGTAATAACATTGTAGGTGACCTGCTTTTCTCCTTTGGGCCTATCTGTACCTCTCCTCTTTCTCCACTTCACAAACTATAAAAGCTTCCTCTGAGTATTTAACTATGAAAGCAAACGTGTTTTAAAATATGGTAGCAGCACAGACACTCTGCTCAGCTGTGAGGCAGCTGGAGGGGTTCTGGCAGCTCCCGGCACCTTCTCATCTGGTTCTCCGTCTTTGATTCTCACTGTGTCCTCTCTGGCCCCATCTCCCACACCAGGCTCCCAGGTGTGTCTGTGTTCCCTGTCCCATCCCCACCCTTAGGCCACCCTCCCCTCCCCTCCCTCTCTCACTTGCTTCCCCCAGCCCAGCTCCCTCCCTTGTTCACAGAGACTGCTGTCCTCCTTCGTGGGCGTGGACAAACCACAAGACCCCCTGTTCTTAGTGAGTGCTCATGGCCTCCTGACATGTGGATCTGGCTTTAGGCCACACAGAGACACTCGGCCCAACTCTCACAGCTGCCTCCTCTTCTTCATAATTTATACCCACCCTGCTCCCCAGGAGAAGTGAGGAGAGTCCTCATGGAGAAGGGATTAGGAACTCAACCAAGTCAGGAGGAATGTTGCAGGCTGGGGCTGGAGATGATTATGGCCCCAGGATGCTAGCCGAGCCCTGAGCTCTCCGGGAAGAGTTGGGCCATTAGCATTCCACTATCGGCTCTGTGCAGAGTAGGGCCAGCCTTGAACCCAGGTCTTGTTAATAAAGGTCAGCGGGTCTCCCAGGGAGTGCATCCGAAGCCACATCGGGGCCAGGAACACTTACAAGAACGGAGACACTTTCAGCTCCCGCGGAGGCTCCGAAGATGGTCACGGAGCCTGCGTCCCCTCCAAAATTGGCGATGTTCTCCTGGACCCAGCGCAGCGCGGCCAGCTGGTCTAAGTGACCCCAGTTGCCCCGGCTGTGTTCATCCCCTGTGCTGTGGGTAAGAGAATGGGGGGAGGAGAGGTAGAGTCATCATGGCAGGATTCCCAGAACCATAGCTTGGGCTGGGGCTCTAGGTGAGCCCTCCACAGCCCAGACTCACAGGTGTAGCCTTGTCTGTTTAGCTCTCCATTCAATCACCTGGCATGTACTTACTGAGTATCTCCTATGTGCCAAACATGGTTCTAAGAGCCTGAAGCAAAATAGGCAAAACCTCTAACTACATGGAGCTCACACTACAGATTGTCAACAAATAAACAGGTACATATAAGAACATAACACCAGTTAGTGAAAATGCTCTCAGGGTAAATAAAACAGGGTCAGGGAAAAGGCAGGGGTGGGGCAGTGGGGTCTTATTTCAGATCAGATGTCTAGGGAAGGCCTCTCAGAGGCAGCCACATCTGAGTAGAGATCTGAATGAATGAGCACCAGAACCTTGCCAATATCCAAAGAAAGGAATTCCAGGTGACAGAGATAGCACGTGCAAAGGCCC